AAGCAGGACTGAGGGTAGGCGGAGGTTTACCTTGGTGCAGGTGTGCCGCGGTCAGTTGCGCATTACGTCGTGCGCACTCGGTGCTTGCTCGGAAGTTTAGGGTTTTTTTTGCTGTAAAAAGAAGTTTTCTTCCCACGCACGATGGACGCTAATGTTTTTGTCACTTTTTATGGAATCAAACTCAAAGTAAGGTCAGTACTTCCACGCTTTAAACGCTGCACGCTCATACTCTCTCCCACAATCGATATGTGATCCATTGTTGATCTGCACACAGCTGTTGTCACTAACGGCGCACTCGCTTACGTCACTGTCGTGAGACATTCTCGCAAAAAACGCAGGTTCTACGGGAAAGTAACGGTAATCTAATTACCTTTTTGCAATAGTAATCCCTTACTTTACTCGTTACTTGAAAAGTAATCAGATTACAGTAACGCGCTACTTGTAACGCGTTACTGCCCATCTCTGGTCAGCAGTGGCATATATTTTTACTTTTAAAGTCTCATCAGGGTGCTAAAGTTTGTTTGGTAATCTCCAAACCCACTGACCAGGAGAGCAGGGTGAATAGCATGAGATTTGAAAAATATGAACAACAGCTCTCTTTTAGAAGCTAGCCAGTGAGGGATACCAGGCATATTTGACAGAGTGTCTCTGTGTGCTCAGCACAGACCTGTGTGCACAAAGAATGCGGCAGGCAGGCCAAGGGGCAGGCCAGAAAGTGTCACATCTGGTCCCCACAAAGGTGGGGGCTAGATGTGCTAAAAGGCCAGTGTAACAAACAAACATGAATTAGTCAAAGGAGCTTGCAAAGAAAAGAGTCTGGACTTCTTTAAGTTGCTTGAAGACGTTTCACCTCTCATCCGAGAAGCTTCTTCAGTTCTAAGGTCAAAAGGTGGGGAGAGTTTTCTCCAAGCATGACATCCCAGTTATTTCAGACCCAGCAACACAGCTCAGACAGAAACTGGTTCACCCGAAAGACAAAACGCCAAAACACAAACTTAACAACGTGGTGTATGCTGTACAGTGCAGCGAGGAATGCCCAGACCTCTACATCGGAGAGACCAAACAGCCACTTCACAAGCGCATGGCACAACACAGAAGAGCCACCTCCACAGGACAAGACTCAGCAGTCCATCTGCATCTTAAGGATAAAGGACACTCTTTCAGGATGCCAATGTTCACATTTTGGACAGAGAGGACAGATGGTTTGAAAGAGGAGTGAAAGAAGCCATCTATGTCCACTGTGAGCGACCATCTTTGAACAGAGGCGGGTGGTTTACGACACCAACTTCTGCCATCTATAATCCAGTTTTGAGTTCCCTCCCCAGACGCCTTAACGCCCACTCACATCCTGGGCCATCTGACCTCAGGAATTGCATGATAAGGTGGGGCCAGGTTTCACAATGAGCTCACCCGAAACCTGGCTGATTGGGACCCACACCCATTTCACACCTGCTAGCATTAGAGGATCATCAGGGGGTCCTTTTGTCCCTCTGTGGGGGGATACTCCCACTGGGTTTAAATCTGGGACCTCCTACGAACTGAAGAAGCTTCTCGGATGAGAGGTGAAACGTCTTCAAGCAACTCAAAGAAGTCCAGACGCTTTTCTTTGCAAGCTCCTTTGACTACGATGACCTGGATGACTGAGAACCTTCACAGACAAACACGAATTAGATACTAATATGTTTTAAACCTTAAACAACACTTTACAAAGCCCATAGATTCCAGATATTTAAAGCAAACTAAATAGAAAGCAGATTTTCATCATTGTACTTGAAACAAAATCACCCCAACAAGTTTATCATTTATTTTCAACATGAGATATAAAGCAATAAAACGTTCAGAGAGTGTCCAAAGCAGCCTTTATGATGACTTTAGCAGCGACTGCTGAACTCAGAGCTGTTGAGGGTTTGTTTTCCCTGTGATGTCATTGTGCTCTCTGAGGTTGCTGGGGTAACATTTATGTGAGGCAGACTAGCCACAGTAGGTGAGCTGGATGAAGTCATGTAAAATTGTTTATAACTAAACCTTGACATTTTGCATGTTTTATAAAAAGAACCCAATTTATTTCATTTTCTGGGACACTTATATTTGTTTTCAAAGGATTTTCAGATTTAAATCCTTTACATATTTTTACATGTATTTTCTCAGCACTATTTGGAACGACATAGATTTTCATAACTGGGTCTATTGATGCCATCTGTTGGTTGGTTGACAAAAGATAACATGTGGCTTAATCTTATTACAAGAAGAAGCCATGTCCATGTCCAAGCCATGTCAAAGATGAGATTCTGAAATTTTCAGCTTGGAGTTCACCAAAAACCTGACACTGAGCAAAGGGGAAAAAAGGAAATCACCTATGACTTCAGGAACAGCCCTGAGTTGAAGCTTTCTCAACATCAATTGTGGCAATGGCCACAAATTCCTGGGTACCATCATCTCTGTTGACCTATCCTGAACTCCAAATACCTCAGCAGTCACAAGAAAGACACAACAGAGACTTCCTCCTCCACAGAGAGTGTGCTGACATGCTGTATCACTGCATGGTACAGGGGCTGTACCGAAGCAGAGGGGAGCAGGATTCAGCAGATCATCAACACAGCTCAGAAGATTGTGGGAAGGGAAAACTCCCAATGAGCAATATCTTAAATTATTAGAATACTCTGTGTAATATTGTCCATTATTGATTAAATCACAGTGAAACTTCAAAATACATGCACCTGCTTTTTGTCACTATCCATAATCTCATCACCATACGTGGTATGTCTTTATATTTACTGTGTAAATTACTGTATGTTTTTTCTTTGCTTTTCTCTTTTGTTTTGTTTTTTTGTGTTTTGTTTTTTTGCAAGGTGTAGCCACTTTATTATTGTGTTGTACTTTGTATAATGACAGCAAAATAATTCTAATTCACATTTAGAACTGAAGGTGAACTGGTCAGTGAAGGTGTAGTGTGTTTCTGGAAAATAAACCTTTTTTGTTCGTGTTCTCTAACAAAAACAAGGTTGTTTGAATCTGTAGCTAGTTAAAAAATTGACACCTTACATAACAGAGAAAATAGATGTTTATAGAAAACCATCAATGTCACAGTAAACTGGAGCAGGTTTCAGGTTTTGTAATGAGCTTCTGCTGGTGCTGTTCTTTTTTTAATTTATAGCTGTGTAATGTTTCCTCAGCTGTGTTCCAGCTCCTCCAGAGTGCATCTAAATTACACACTGGCTTTATTGGAGAGTGGTAAATTAAGCTTTAGCTCCAGAGGCACCGAGGAAATGCTGTCATGTGATGTGAGATGTGTCTAAGTAAAGGAACGTAATTTGCAAACATATGACTCTTTTACAGCAGTCCTCCAGCTTTGTCTTGGTCTTCTTCTACTGGAAATAATTAGGGTTCAAAAAGAATATGGGAAGCCAGTCAAACGGCAACATTCAGTAGGCTTAAAATTCAAGGAATGATTGAACAACATAAGAAAATAATGAAAGAATTAAAAATAATACAGTTGGTATGGTTCAGTTAAGCTCTGTGTAGCATAATGACAGCACATTGATTAAAAATATGCTAATACCCCTATGCATTGTAAGACTTATGTAGCTGACCCACCCACCAGTTAAAAAAAAGCATCAGCCTAAGGCGTAAAGTGGCAGTGCCACACTGCTGATGCCGTCTAATTGGGTGAAAGAGCTCGTTTGAAAACATGTCCCCTTGGGGACCTAACAATTTAGAGGTACTTTGATGTTTTTAGTTGGGTGTTTGTATAACTGAAAGAAAAATGCTTAGGTAAACAGAAATAGGCTGCACTGGTCCATCTGATTATTCTCTGGGGACCAAAGTACCACATCTGCATCCATAATCAGATGTAAGAACCCAGAGTGAAGTACTTCCACCGCCCTCAAGATAAACACTGTGGGATATGGTCTCATTAAAATCTGTATACAAGTTCTTATATATAAAAACTGTACCACACCAGACACTTCTAAATTTGTTAGGACCCTCTTGCTTTCAACATTTCACTTTCTGAAAACTTCAGCCAGTTTATGGTTGAAGCTGATTTATGTACTTTCCCTGGTGCAAATACTTTGCTTCTAGGTAGTGACTAAAGGCTCACTTTAAAAAGAAAAAGAAAACTTTTAGGGCTTTTGAAAGTAGAGATGAATAATTATATGAGCTTTTCATCTGAATTACAGGTGCTTACCTTATTGTAATCTTTAATTACATATTAAATATTAACTCAAACTGAAAGATGATTAAACACAACACTGAAAAGCAATAACTCAGGGAACCACCATCCCAGAATGACAGATTGTACCTTGAAGAAAGGTGCAAAAATGGATGGTGTGGTGTGGATGTGTGGATTCTACTTTGCTGGTGTGAAATTCTAGTCGTAGCTCAGATACTGACAGAAACACCAATCGACTGTATGAGCAAGTGTGTGTGTATTCCCACAAGGCTAAAAAGGCTGTGTGTGTAACAGAATGAGAAATTTTTTTACATTTTTGTTTTGAAAGGGTTTTCCACCCATAGGCAGCAAAATATCAGCAGGAGTGTGACTACATTTTTTCTGGGGACTTTACTTGTTGCCAAGTTTGCAGCTTCAAAGAAGTGAAGCAGACTGTGAGCTAACAGAAGAGTACTGTCTGAAACCGCTGTTGGTCAGCACCCAGCAGGGCTCTCCAGACATCTCAGTTTCCATGTTCATGCTGCTAGCATTCTAGTTTAAGTATGGAATTCATACCACAGACCAAAACTATGTCTCACCCTTCTCTGGTTTCCCTCATCTACCCACTCTGTAAACATCCCTTTTCCTTCACACTTTTTTTCACTTGCTCCTTTTCTTGCTTTTAAATGTCAGTTCCTATTGCAGGGATTTCCCATACAGAAAGATGTGTAACGAGTTATTAAGCTTCTGGATTGCCACATGTTGCAAGACCAGCTTTAGAGCAATATAACAATTTTCCAAGTCTCTGCAACTATATTTGAGGAATGAAACATCATTCTTTTAAAATACATTAGGGTACCTGCTTCTTGCTGTATACCTTAGTCTCTATCTTGGCTGGCTTCATTGATACACTGACTTTCATGAGTTGTAGAGCATCACCAATCTTGTTTCGGGCCACACAGAGATAATCTCCGGCATCTTTGTCACTCACAGTGTTAACAGTAAGAGTACCATTATGAAGGACCTGTATCCTGCTGCCCACCCTGGAGTAACAAATAAAAGAAAATTAGAGAGACAGTTACAAACCTGGCATTAAGATAATTTGCAGAATTCCTTGTCTATGCTTATTAAGAGCAAAACGCATAAATTTGTATGGTTTCATATATTTTTTCAAACAGCTAAAATCAAAACGGTAACAGTGGAAAAGTGTCTTATCTGTTTACATCAAACAAATGTGTACAGAATGCCACTGGGGAGATATAGCAATTAAATCAGTAGCTGCTTTACATTGCCTCAGTCTTTCTGTTCTCTCTGGTGTTAGACATTGCAAATGACAATGTACCGACACACAAAGTGTTTATATAAACAGGTATTGGGGGTATAAGAAATGTGGTTTAAACGTACAATGTTTTTTTAAAGACGTAAAATTAAGGTAAGACATGCTTGCATTATTATCACACTGAACAAGCTAACAATTAGGAAAAATATAAATGAAATACACTCCAATTCCCTTCGGTATGATGACTTTTGTGTCGGTTTTTTTTTTCAATCCTAATAGAAGCATAGAAAGAGAACCATTGTATTGAAAATATTTTCACTTCAGTCTTCATTTGACTGTGCTGAGTTATGCTCTGAATAATTATAGTCAATATCTGCATCTCATTTCTTTACATTTAGAGAGAATTACATGTTTTTATGTGTACTTATGAGGGACATTCAATGAATCAGTGCAGGCAACAAAACCTATAAAAAATATAAATGCATGTACTCTATTCACAATCAGTGCTTACTTTGGTAAGCATAACAGTATGCCACTGAATTGTTTTCAACAGTTTAGCTGTTTCATGAGAGGCTAAGGGCAAAAATAAGTCTGTTTTGGTGATTTTTATCCACTTTCTTCCATAGAATGTTCACTAAACCACTACAGTTTTTCTAAGCAATATTTATGCAAATCATGCACATTGAATTATTAGAATTTTGTAACTTTAATATAAAAGATAATACAATAAATACCTGTTCTACCAATGAACGTATTTTACCTGTACCAATAGTCCACCACAGCTTTAGAAGGTAGTTTCCAGATTATCCTAGGTTTAGGGTTTCCAGTTGCCAAACAGTTTAGTCTTAACTGATCTCCATATGACAACTCAGTCAAGCGCTTGGATATCTCCAATATCTGAGGAGCAGATTCTTGTAGTATTACTGTCAGAGTCACGACTCTTCGTTCTGAACCAGTAGAGCTGGTAGCAATACATTCATATTTTCCACTGTCTGCTGGAGTCACATCCTTAATGTGAAGCGTCCCATTCTCATACATGGATATCCGTGTATCGATTACAGGCCTGTTAGATTGTATCATTGACCCATCATGGAGAACCCAGTGAACACTAGGCTGAGGTGTACCATGACCAGTGCAGGGTAACTGTAAACTGTGGCCAAGAATAGCTTGTAGCTGCTGCCGCTTCTCCTCCATGATACCTGGTGGAGCTGCCACCACCTGCAGTCGGACTGTAGCAGTATCAGCTCCAGCAGGATTACTGGCAATGCATTTATAATGACCTCTGTCATAAACAGACACATATTTAATAACCAGAGTCCCCACAGCAGATACCGATGCTCTTCCCTTCTCAGTGTTTTGACCCATGACTTGAGTACGGTTGGCCAAGATCCAAGATATCACAGGCATGGGCCGGCCCTCTGCTTTACATTTCAGTTCAACTGTGTTTCCTGCATAAGATTTTATCTCGCGCATCTTTGGCTCTAAAATGCGAGAGGGATAGGCTACCACTGAGAGGGTGATAATAAGTTTATCTGATCCATGGTCATTCTCAGCTAGACAGAAGTATTGGCCTCGATCTTTAATATTGGCATTTGGGATTGACAGCGTGCCGTTGCTCAACACCTCATACTTGCCCATCCTCTCTTTAATGGTAATGGTTCTTCCTGTGGGACAAAATAAATACAGAGACAATGAAATATTTACCTTACAAACACTAAAACATTCTACACAAATCACTTAAAGCAACTGACAAAATTTAAACAGTATTGTTACTTTATTATTGCAGCGTTTTCTATAAATGGCTTTTACTTGCACCTGATAACAAATTTTGTTTCTACATGATGCCAAAAATACTGTCACTCCCATATCTTAATATGTATCACATTTTGGTTCTGCTAATGATAAGAATGAATGAAATCATTTTTGTACCTGTGCTGGAGGAGAATTGTTTCCATGTTATAACTGGCTGTGGGTTTCCAACAGCCACGCATGGCAGGAAAGCATCAGAGTTAGACAGTACAGTAAAGCTAGCTGCATTTCCACCCACTATCTTGGGTTTGCTTGACATGACCTTTGTAGTGGGTTCAAAACCAGCATTACTGGCACTGGTAGCATCATATCCCGAGACTTGATTATAAATAGTAGAGGTGGCAGAATCCTTGTCTGTAATGTAAGGAACGGGGGTACTGATCATGTAGCCTTGCTGAGCTGTTAGAAGGATCAGTGTATCAGAGTTATCTACACTGCCTTTAGTACCACTGCTTTTTCGAGTACCGGTAGGTCTAATTCTCTCCAACACTAAACGGCGATTGGTGTCACCATTCCTTTGTGTTGGTGGTTTGATGTTGCTGTGGAATCTTGTCTGAGCAGTTGTGTAAAACCGCTTAGTTGTATGTGGTATCAGTGTAGTAGCAGGATCATAAGTGGCAGAGGAAAATAGAGGTGTCATGGTGGTAGGATAGCTGGATGAACCACTAGATGTCCAGTCAAAGTCCTCATATAGGTCACTCTCCTCAGATCTTTTTTCAGTGGTACCCAATACTGTGGTTCTGGCATCTTTTTGTGTGTAAATGGGATTATATTCTGAAACACTTTGTTGAAAAAGTGTGGTTGCCTCCATTGTGTATTCCATGGTTGTTGCCTCTGTAGTTATTGCCTCAGTTGTTGTAGTTTGTCGGACTTTGGGAATTCCAGGTTTCCTTAGGGGTCTTCTTCTCCTATTGGGCCTCCTTCTCCACCCTAGCCTACCTCTTGTCCCACCAGGCCTCTGTCTGATTATAAGAAAATTGTCAGACAGTCTTCCAGACCCAGATGAGGTTACATCAAGATTTTCCTGCTGGGTGGGTTTGACAGTGGGTGGCGAGGGTAGAGTCTGTAATTCTGGTGGTGTTTCTGCAGTGGTATAAAACTGTGAGGAACCAGAATAACTAGTAACAGGTATAAAGTCCAAGCTGGGACCCAGTGTTGTGAACTGGAAATCAGCAGAGGATGCATCTCTACAATCATCATCTAATGAACTACTCGTTGTGTGTCTGGATGGTGACAAACTATCAACTTTAACTAATAAGTTTGCAGAGGTAATGGGCGTAGGAGCAATGGTTGTGGTTAGGGTGCCTCTTGTTTCAGTCGTAGTTGAAGTTTTATTCGCAGTTAATGGCTTCTTAAGCCTACTGAGCATCCTTTCCCTTCCTTTGTTTCCAAACAACTTGTTCCATGGAATTTTCCCCCGAATGATCTTAGAAGTAGATGTAGTAGCGGTTGTGGTTGGGACTTTAGTTGTAGGATCCAGTTCAGGGGCAACTGCAAACGTTATGTACGCATTGGAAGTCTCTGATCTAGACTCTGCTTTGTTGAATGTGGCATCTGAAGTCATGTAATGACTTGTGGTTTTTTGCATATAAGCAGGTTTCTCTGTTTTGTGTAAACATGGACTAGAAGATGCTGTTGGTGTGACCACTGCCAAATCAGTGGTTGCTGCCTTATTATCACAGTTACAGGCTGAGAAAAAAAGAACCATGTTAAAAACATACGTGTTGTTTCATGACTGATTATTTATGCAACACAGAAGTACAAAACAACAGGGTTTTTAAGAACATGGTTTCTTACCTGTGGTCAACTGAATTTGATATGGCACAGAAGCATTCCCTTCTTTATTCATGGTGGATTGTTTAAGTTTATTAATAAAGGACTGCATGTCATGGATCCTGTTTGGTTTAATGATTCTTCTGCGGCCTTGAAAGTTCCTCCTGCCAACCTTTCCTCTGTTACTTTGGCGTGGGATTATATGGATGTGCTGCCGGGAGATGATAGTAGATCCTGCAGGCAGGCGCTGGGATTTTATTGTCTGGGTTGTATGGAAAATGATCTTGTCTTGCTGTCTGTCTGTAGCTGTGATTGCTGTAAATGAGGTTTGGCTTTCAGGGTCTGTGTGAAGGACTAGCTCCACTGGGCCTGGTTCATCTCTCATTGGAGTAACATTAGGGTCTGTAGTTGAAGAAAAAGCACCCTCTGTCGAAGTCTCTGGTTCTGCAAGTGCTTCTCCTGATAACTCTAGTTGGGTTTCTTGTGAAGTGTCTGTCACAGTAGGTTGGAGAGTGACTGGTTGTAGGTTCGAAGGTGGCATGCTGGTTCTTTCAAGGGTGTAAAAGTTGTTTGTCTCAACTAACCTTGGATCTGTAGTGAATGTAGACTGCATATATGGCTCTGTTGTTGCCATGTCTCTATTTTCCATTATTTTAGTTGAATTAATATGATTGCTGAATCTATTTTCCATGCCATTTTCCTTTGTTGCTAAAATATGTCCCTCACCAATTTGTGTGGTTGTTACTGTCTCAGTCTGCCTGTCTTGAGCAAATATTCTTTGTGGATTATCTGTTGTTGGTTGGACTATTGTTGGGAGAACAATGAGATGGTCTTCATCTTGAGCTTCACCAGAGCCAATTTCATTGTCACCAGAATATCCAATATGTGTGTTTTCATATTTTACTTTCTCATTTTCTCTATCACTCTTTATTTTTGAGCCACCCTGAGCCTTTTTCATAAATTCTGCAAACTTCTGCGGGTCTACTTTCCTGGAAGCTTTATCAAAGACCCTACTACTCCAGATGTGGCTGTTGCGGACTGACCCCCTCCTTCTCTGTCCCAGTCTACCTCCAAAACCTACTCGGCCACGTGATCTGTGTCTGGGGTAAGGCCGATCTGAAGTAATGGTCCTGGACTCCTGGATAGTTCTGTCAGCATGCTGGGAGTGGTGTATCTCACTGAGTTTGACTGTGTTTTGTGTCAAGCTAGAATCCATTGCAAACTCCGTCACCATCCCTGATCCCTCACTGTTGAAAACACTTGCTGTCACGGACCCTTTGTCTGTTACTGTCACCTGAGAAACGAGTAGGTCAACTCCAACATGATTAGCAACTAAACACCTATAAAATCCTCGATCCCTTGCTGTGATACCCTGAATCAGCAATGTCCCATTCTTAAAAATGTTTCTGTTCCCATGAGGCTTGTCAAGCACTGAATGGTCAGGCAGAATCCAAGACACTGAGGCCTCAGGACTCCCCGAGGAGCTACAGTCAAAAACAAGCTTTTCACCCAGTGGCCTAGAGAGTTGAACACCATTGACCTCATCCTCTTCCACATCAGTGGACAGAACTGTCACTCGAAAGATGAGGATATCTGCATCCAGGTAGTTTGTGGCAATGCACCAGTAGAGGCCTGTGTCAGAGGTATCTGCACCTCGAAGAGTGAGCTTTCCTTCAGCAGTAATTATTATTCTCCTGTCCTCACTGGAATAAGGAGCTCTGACCTTGCTTCCATCTGGTAAAATCCACTCCAAGAGAGGCTTTGGATCACCCTGGATATGGCAGCTCAACTGTACCACACCACCTAGGTCAGGAGGAAAACATTTGATAATATCATAACCGTTTTCATGCTAAAAAGAAAATACTTTTTAGTCTTTGAAATTCTGAATTCATTTTTTTTAATGCTTCCTATTTTATTAGTGCAATGATCAGTATAGTTTCATACATAAGTAAATAGTTCAGTTACTGGTATGTGCAGACCTAAGTAAAAGTCACATCTCTGAGCTAGTATATTAAGCGTTAATCTCTGACTCCCACCTGTAAGTACAGTGTGCTCAGTCTTAGTTTGATTATCTCGTTTGATCATGGCCCAGGAATACCGGTCCCTCTTAGATGGTGTGCTTTCCAAACGTAGGTTTACCACAGACTGGTACTTAATGTGCAGGGTAGAGAAGGTGGTAGCAGTGCGGTCTAGTTGGAAGCTCACTTCTCCCTGCATTAACCATGCAGGAGAGGCTTTAATCTCAGCCTTAATGTTTGTGTTTATTTCTTTATCTAGATCCTTTGTTTTCATCTGAGCATATCGGTACACCATTTCTGGGCTTCTGGCCAACATTAAACCTCTCTCTAGCCTCATAGGAGAGTCACTGTAGGTGGCTAAGATCTGCCACAGTTGCTGGATGTGTTCATGGTTAATATTACACACCAAATACGTAGTTATGCAAGTGGTAAGCATGGTGACATTGTTTCCTTCTCCTTCCTCCAGGGTTTGAGTCAGGTTCTCAAAAGAAGTGGGCCGCTGTACAGTGCAGGTTAGACTGGCATCATTGTAAAACTGGTCGGTCAGGTTCATTTGTATTGAGCCTAATGGGGCAATAAAGTCCTTGGGGGAAACAGGAAAGAAGTTCCCTTCATCCAGGCTGATGTTTTTCTGCTTTAGATGGGGTTGGATCAAAGGTTTGGTGCAAGTAAAAGCATTGTTGGGTAGAAGGGATAGAGGCCTTTTGTGGTAAAGCAAAGGATTTTCACAAACAGCACATAGGCCTCTGGGATATCTCCTGTCTCGCCGGCATTTCAGCACACCTGGAAAGAATTATTAAGCAGTGCAATGTTTAGATGGATTCATGGAAGAAAAAAAAATCACACTTTCAAACTTATGTTCCAGCCAAACCAAAACTGGCTAATAAAACTTGTGAACCGCAAAAGGTCATAATCACAATACAGAATTGCGACATTTCGGTTAACCCTCGTGCTTGCCAAGTCATAAATAAAATGTATAACTTTAGTTCTTCTGTGTCTTCATTGTTTTCTATGGCCCTCATGATGAAAAGATTATATGATATCTGCTTCCTGTAATGTCTCTGCAAAGATTTATATGCTTCTCTTGGATATGCCTGTCTTGCTTGGGATACAATCCCATGCACTATTAGGTTTTAAGAGAAAAACATACTATGCTCAAACCTGAGTACAACCACAAATACTGCCAACAGTTTTACCAGATGGGTCTTATTAAAGCTGGTAGCAAATATCGGAGGTTTACAGAGGTTTAGAGAAAGTTTCTCTGGCATTAATGAAAAAGAAACTGTTTAGATTCAGTAAGTGACTTTCTTAGCTGTTAACCACGGTTCAATTTTATATGCCTCTAAGTACTTTGGGAATTGTCCAAAGCACAGATGCACTCCTTACCTGTATTTCTTTGTGCCCAAAGTGAGAACCACTTCATACGGCAATCACACTTCCAGGGGTTGCCATGGAGGAAGACATTTTCTAACTGACTGCAGCCTGAAAAAATGTCTGCTGGCAGAGTGGTCAGAAGGTTGTCTGACAGGTGGATGGTTCTTACTGATGATACCTTGAAAACCTGGCTGTGTCTCAGTGTGATAAATGTGTCCGGGTGGAGCTGCTGGAGGTAGTTACCCTCCAGATTAACCAATTCTAAGTTGGTAAGCCCAAAGAAAGCCTCCGGGTTTATAAATTCGATGTGGTTGTGGTCTATGTGGAGTCTCAGCAGACTATCCAAGCCTTTGAAAGTCTCTTTGTTGATAATCTTTAATTTATTGTATGACATCTTCAGGACCTTGGAAAACACAATTAGGAAGATAGAGATGGTGGTCAAAACAATGATAACTGAAAGCTATTATGTCAATACACAATTACATTGTTTTTATAGACATAACATGAATTATTGTCAGACTGTTTATTTAGTCTGAAAAAGTGCAAGGAATCAAGGACCATCCTTCACATAACACACACAGACATATAAAATTATTGTGAATCACTCAACATTCTTTGTGAAACATGAGGCATTTACTTTTTGTGAACCACAAAAGAGTTGATACAACTCTGTTTTTACAAGTTTGGACTTGTGACACTGAAATTCTGTATTGAATTATACTGCCTGTTATTGGTTAAACACAGTTACTTGTGCCTGAGTTCTTTTTTTTAATTTCATTACTTTATAATTAGATTTGCAAAAGCAAAGGTGATACTTCTTAATCAATTTTGCCATGGTGAAAACCCTGTGCTGTAATTGGACAACTCTTATTGTTTTCCCCTCGCATTTGTGTCGTCTTTTTATGCTTTTTGAAATTTTTTGTCATTTTGAACTAATTATGGATGGAAATGTGACACAACAGTCATAGTAAAGAAAATCAGCTGTGAACTTTTCATCCCTCCAAGCAGATATTATCTAAAAACCAGAAAACAAACCAGAAAACAAACAAAAACATATTTATGTAGGCATGCTCTACTTACTGATGTGTGTATGTCATCACAGAAATACTGAATTAAAACTATATGATGTCAGCAGTAAGGCTATTTTTGTAAACTAAAACCAAACTAAAAACAACCTTTACTGCAATTTGCAACTACAACTGATGAGTCATGTCTATTGAAACTGTGGATGTCTTCAACTGCTTTCAAAAAATTCTTTATTTTTATTGCAGTACCATTATTGATTTTCTACAATCTTGTGTTTGACATATGCCCTCCATTCAAAAATGAAAACGAACATGTAAACTAATTTATTTAAAAATAACTAAAACAACACATTTTCAAATTTAAAATATAAACTGAAATAAGAAAATCTACTCTAGAAAATAATAACAAGTCAAAATGAAATAAAAATGAGGGTTGTCACACAAAGATATATTTTGGATGTTGCAGTGAGGTTTGCGAGTAATTTGTTTACAAAGGATTTTACCTGTAATGACTTAAGGTCTTTGAAGGCTCTGTCTTCAGTAGTGTGTATCATGTTGCTGTGCAGCAACAACAGTTCCAAGTTTTCAAGCCCTGAAAGATCATTTTCTCTCAGGATAGTTATGCTGTTGTACCTAACGGCATAGAAATGAAAAAGCTTTGGTTACTGATCATCATTTTGAATGAGCCTTCAAATATACTTTGCAGAAATATTACTGAAATGCAACTGAAGTTCTGCACATATAACCTAAAAGGTGGGCAATGCTGGTGAAAGATCTCAGCGAAAAAAAAGCATTCATTCTAATCCAGAACCTGTCTACTCAGACAAATAAGTGAAAACACCTCACTAGGTGAACTATAGGTATATATTGCCCTCAGTATTGACATACTGGACATTAGTATTGTGCTGACTATATTACCTGTTCCTCATTCAGGCAATTTAATTTAATAATTAATTTAATAATTTTAATTATATAATTGCTTTGGGATTAATATATTATTCAGATTTTGATACCATATCCTGCCAAACTGAGGCTGTGTGCATACTAAAGCATCTTAGAGAAAGCTGTTGTAGCAGGAACCAGTATACATGAAATTTCAAGTACTTTTTAACTGTTTATAGGTGGTTTTTGCATGTGTGTGTGTTTGGGGGTTGGGGTAAGGGACCTTGGCTCTTTCTCATGTTACACTACTTCAAACACATGATGGATAGTAGTACTAGCCATGCTAGGTCAGGGCCACATTTTACCATGTTGAAACATACATGCATGTGAAGACAAGTTTAAAACAATGCCAGTAAATGTTGTTGATTACTAATATTGTGATACATATTAATGAAAACAATTTATAGTGTGTACCCAGTAATGTTTGAGTTCACTCTGTGTGTGTCAGCAGGCAACATGACGTGCCCTTGGAGATGACACTTGTAGAGGAAATTAGGACTACATAATTAACTGTTAATTCTGCCTGTATTAATCCTGCCACGACATCTCAGGATGTCTGCAGTAAATACTCTGCTCTGGCCTGGTCACATTCTGAAATGAGGTCTAATTAGGTACAATAATTGAATGCACTTGTGTGTCATTTGATTGACAAATAGCTTTCCAAGCAGGCTGAAGTAGCACCAGGGCACCACAGACAGGATAGAGGTAAGGCAGCTCTGTTTATGCATCATGTATTTCAGAATCTTTAACATAGTAACAGCCAGAGGCATTAATAGACGATTTGGTGATGAATGATGATTAATTTTATGATGAATTCATTTAGTGGCTGTGGTAACAGCTACTAGCTGGATGACAATGGCAATGGGATGTCGACTAGAGTGGTGATTTACTTCTTTGCTGTTTTTTTTTTGTTGGTTATTTTTTGAGAAACTAAGCCTCTCAAAGCACATAAAACTAAACACTGCTAAAGTTCTCCGGTTAAGATTGTTGATGGCTAATGCTTGCTAGCTATTGCTTGTTAGCTAATGGCAAGATTGGCTTTGTCACCTAACCTGAGCTAATATTTGCTTGTTGATTAACCAGCTTCACAAATTGAAGCTATAAAGTTGTGTTTTCTTGAGTCAATGACATTTTAAATAAACATTTTTTATCTCAATTCTGAAAGGTTATTTCTTTTCCAGACAGTAATTATATGTGGTCTAGACTAGACTAGACTAAACCTGTTTGACTTGTAGAAATACTTTTTGTAATGCTATTCTTTTACAAAGTCTGCAGTTTAAATCACTCAGTAATTCTTCACCAAGAGTATGTGTACTTCAACTCTTACCCGAGGTTAATTTTTTCAACAGCTGGCAGGATGTGGTCAGGTATTAAAGTCAGGTATCTGAAGGTGCAGTGCACTTCAGTGGTAACATCGCAGGCGCATGGTTTGGGACAGTCAGCACTTGAAGGCAGCGCAGCAGCCAGGAACAACAAAGTCTTTAGCAACCACCTCTGCAGGTATGAAGAGCTGCACACACACTCAGTCATTGTGCACAGAGTTGGGGGCTTCAGTTGCACAGGAAATTAGAGCAAAACTTTGTCGTGAACCATTAATGAAAACCACCTGAAGAGAGAATGATGAAGATATATAGATAGAAAAAAATAGCTTTAATTTCCAAGCCATTTCCTTCATTAGTTCCATTCTATTCTTGTATATTTTAACTTCCGTCTTTGCTATTCGTTGCTATCAAAGAAGAAAACTTAGGGAAGGATAAGCATTCAAGTCAAAATGTGTCCATGCAGTTGCAAAATAAAATAAAAACAATGAGAAAAATAACTCTGCAGAAGTAAAATATCTGCAGACAGAAGAATTTAAACCATGAAAAAAAGATAGCCTGTATACAGTTTCTCTCACCGCACTAAAACATCTGTAGAAACCGGAATTGCTGCAGAAGCACGAATTAGAAATTCCTAGTCAAACTGTTTAAAGTCCACATTCAGTTTCAGTAGTTCTCCAGTTTGAGTTCTTAGATGAGCACACTCTGTAAGCACAGAGGGACTAGAGTCATTTCTCTGCGAGCGCCTGCAGCAGAGCACACGCTTCAGTCTCCTCCTTCTCCTCCTCCTTTATAAACTGCAGTAATGCAGTTCTAGACAAACTACAAATAAAAATGCAGGGAGTTGCTTTGTTTGAAAGATCTCATAGACAGTTAAAGGCCAACAAAATTCTTCCTCATCTTGAGTTACTCGGGTTGATATTGGAAATATTAACTGCTGCCAAGACAATAATTTTTGACTCATATGACCAAGCTTAGAAGGAGGTCATGTGTCTTTTTGAAGAATCTGAAACTTTCCTGATATGATTTATTGTATATTTCTTTCATATTTTCATTGAATCCTGCTTTTCTGTGATTACATTTGGACCAAACGTACCCCAAGCTTGTCCACACATACTCCACAAACTCTTTTCTGTGAAAGTCTTTCTGTCAGATTAAAACACATTTGAGCCACAATGTGTTACACATTATAGCAGCAGCCGGTTCGCTTCCCCCTCTCCTATCAAATGGGTCATTTGAATAAATTGGTTTTGTGTGTGTTTTTGGGGGGTTTTCTTATGATAAATTCCACACATAAATCACTATTCTGACATGCAAAGGCAAAAAAAAAAACAACAACCCCCAAAAAACCCACCAAACATAAACAAAACCACTCAGGAAGAGGATTTTTTGTAGATGCACCTGTACCATTCATTTAACTAGTGTGTTTTATCACAAAAGTCACTGAAGTTATACACAATGCACACAAACTGTCATTCATTTACTGTTATAATCTGTTCTCTTGTTAAGATAAAGTGGATATATTGTGCTTTTTTGCCACTTTTTTTTATCTCTGTAGCGACTGCTCAGAAACCACCAGGTATCAGATACCATCTTTTCTCATAGGGCAAACAAAATTAATTAATGACCGGATAATAAAAATGTCCATCCATCCATCCATCTTCATCCGCTTTGTCCGGGGTCGGGTCGCGGGGGCAGCAGCCTAAGCAAAGAGGCCCAGACCTCCCTCTCCCCAGCCACCTCCTCCAGCTTGTCCGGGGGAATACCAAGGCGTTCCCAGGCCAGCCGAGAGATATAATCTCTCCAGCGTGTCCTGGGTCTGCCCCGGGGCCTCCTCCCGGTGGGACATGCCTGGAACACCTCGCCCAGGAGGCGCCCAGGGGGCATCCTTGCCAGATGCCCGAACCACCTCAGCTGGCTCCTTTCGATGTGGAGCAGCAGCTGCTCTACTCTGAGCCCCTCCCGGATGGCCGAACTTCTCACCCTATCTCTAAGGGAGAGGCCAGCCACCCTTCGGAGGAAGCTCATTTCCGCCGCTTGTATCCGCGATCTCGTTCTTTCGGTCACTACCCACAGCTCGTGGCCATAGGTGAGGGTAGGGACGTAGATCGACCGGTAAATTGAGAGCTTCGCTTTTACACTCAGCTCCCTCTTCACCACGACTGACCGGTGCAGCGTCCGCATTACTGCAGCCGCAGCCCCAATCCGTCTGTCGATCTCCGGCTCCCTTCTCCCATCACTCGCGAACAAGACCCCGAGATACTTGAACTCCTCCACTTGGGGCAGGAACTCATCCCCGACCCGGAGTGGGCACTCCACCCTTTTCCGGCTGAGAACCATGGCCTCAGATTTGGAGGTGCTGATCCTCATTCCCGCTGCTTCACACTCGGCTGCGAACCGTTCCAGTGCGAGCTGGAGGCCCTCACCCGATGAAGCCAACAGAACCACATCATCCGCAAAAATCAGAGATGAGATTCTGAGGCCACCAAAGCGAAAGCCCTCCGCCACTTGGCTGCGCCTAGAAATCCTGTCCATAAAAATTATGAACAGAACCGGAGACAAAGGGCAGCCCTGGCGGAGCCCATCACCCACCGGGAACGAGTCCGACTTATTGCCGGCAATGCGAACCAAGCTCTTGCAACGGTTGTATAGGGATTGAATGGCCCGTAGCAATGGGCCAGACACCCCATACTCCCGCAACACCTCCCACAGGACACCCCGAGGGACACGGTCGAATGCCTTCTCCAGGTCCACAAAACACATGTAGACTGGTTGGGCAAACTCCCATGCACCCTCAAGTATCCTGGAGAGGATAAAGAGCTGGTCCAGTGTTCCGCGACCAGGACGAAAACCGCATTGTTCCTCCTGTATCCGAGGTTCGACTAGCGGACGAACTCTCCTCTCCAGCACCCTGGCATAGACTTTCCCAGGGAGGCTGAGGAGTGTGATCCCCCTGTAGTTGGAACACACCCTCCGGTCCCCCTTCTTAAAGATGGGGACCACCACCCCGGTCTGCCAGTCCACAGGCACTGCCCCTGATCTCCACGCAACATTGCAGAGACGTGTCAACCAAGACAGCCCTACAACGTCCAGCGCCTTCAGGAACTCGGGGCGGACCTCATCAACACCAGGGGCTCTGCCACCAAGGAGTTGTTTAACTGCCTCAGTGACCTCGCCCCCGGAAATTGGCGGGTCATACCCCTCATCCCCAGACTCTGCTTCCTCCTCGGAAGACGTGTCAGTGGGATTAAGGAGGTCCTCGAAGTATTCCTTCCACCGCCCGACAATTTTCTCAGTCGACGTCAACAGCGCTCCGCCAGCACTATACACAGCGCAGGTAGAGCACCGCTTTCCCCTCCTGAGACGCCTGACGGTTTGCCAGAATCTCTTCGAGGCAGTCCGAAAGTCTTTTTCCATGGCCTCTCCGAACTCCTCCCACACCCGAGTTTTTGCTTCAGCCACTGCCCGAGCCGCATTCCGCTTGGCCTGTCGATACCTGTCGGCTGCCTCCGGAGTCCCACAGGCTAACCAAGCCCGATAGGCCTCCTTCTTCAGCCTGGTGGCTCCCTTCACCTCTGGTGTCCACCATTTGGTTCGGGGATTACCACCACGGCAGGCACCAACCACCTTGCGGCCGCAGCTCAATGCAGCAGCTTCGGCAATGGAGACGCTGAACATGGTCCATTCGGACTCAATGTCCCCAGTCTCCCTCGGAATGCTGTTGAAGCTCTGCCGGAGGTGTGCGTTGAAGATCTCGCGGACTGGGGCCTCTGCTAGACGTTCCCAGCACACCCTCACTACGCGTTTAGGTGCACCAGGTCTGTCCAGCGTCCTCCCCCGCCACCTGATCCAACTCACCACCAGGTGGTGATCAGTTGACAGCTCAGCCCCTCTCTTTACCCGAGTGTCCAGAACATATGGTCGCAGGTCTGGTGATACGATTACAAAATCGATCATCGACCTACGGCCTAGAGCATCCTGGTGCCACGTGCACTTATGAACACTCTTATGTTCGAACAGGGTGTTCGTTATGGCCAAACTGTGATTAGCACAGAAGTCCAATAACAAAGCACCGCTCGGGTTCAGATCAGGGAGGCCGTTCCTCCCAATCACGCCCCTCCAGGTCTCGCTGTCGTTACCCACGTGAGCATTGAAGTCTCCCAGCAGGACAACAGAGTCTCCAGGTGGAGCACCTTCCAGCACCCCCCCCAGGGACTCTAAGAAGGCTGGGTACTCCGAACTGCCACCCGGCGCATAAGCGCAGATGACAGTCAGGACCCGTTCCCCGACCCTAAGGCGCAGGGAGCAAACCCTCTCGTCCACCGGGAAAAACCCCAACGTACCGGCAGCAAGCCGAGGGGATATAAGAATACCCACCCCAGCCCGCCGCCTCTCACCAGGGGCAACTCCAGACTGAGACAGAGTCCAGCCCCTCTCCAGGAGACTGGTTCCAGAGCCCAGACAATGCGTAGAGGTGAGCCCAACTATATCTAGCCGGTACCTCTCAACCTCACGCACCAACTCAGGCTCCTTCCCCACCAGAGAGGTGACATTCCATGTCCCTATTGCCAGTCTTGGCAGCCGGGGGTCGGTCCGCCAGGGCCTCCGCTCCTGGCCGCCACCCGGCTCACAATGCACCCGACCCCTATGGCGCCTCCTGCGGGTGGTGGGCCTGCGGGAGGATGGGCCCATGTCTCCTCTTCGGGCTGTGCCCGGCCGGGCCCCATGGACTAAGGCCCGGCCACCAGACGCTCGCCCTCGGGCACCCTCCCCGGGCCTGGCTCCAGGGCGGGGCCCCGGTAACCCTATCCCGGGCAGGGTAAACTGTTCCCTCGATATTCTCTTCATGGGGGTCTTCTGAATCGCTCTTTGTCTGGTCCCTCACCCAGGACCAGTTTGTCATGGGAGACCCTACCAGGGGGCAAAAGCCCCCAGACAACATAGCCCCTGGGATCCCTGGGACACACAAACCCCTCCACCACGATAAGGTAGCGATTCAAGGAGGAGATATAATAATAATAAATAATAAAAATGTAATAAAATATATTATCATACTAATAAAATAATGATGAATGGCTTAAGATCTTGAGCAATAAAAGAAGCTTTTATGGTTGTGACACTCAGCAGCTGGCTCAGTTTATCAGAAACTACTCACACAAAGTGGACTGGTTTTCGTTTTCAGATACTTGTGAACTAACTAATGAGTCACTGCACTGTGCAACCTTTTAGATTCATTTAGAACCACAGAGGACGAAGAGATGATTGTGTGTTTGTGGATTAGTTATTTGTGTAGATATAGGGCTTCCCATTCATTGGTCACAGGCAAGGTTGGCATATTCCATCGGTGTTGTTTTTTAACTTGTACATCTGGATAACACACCATCACACATGGACACAAACACCTCCTCTTCTCTTCTCTTCTCTCTGTGATATCTAACTTAAATGAAGTAAATAAAGTGCCGAGCAACTGTCACTATGTGATAGATGTAAGCGTGCGTTTGATTTACTAACTGGTTAGATTGTACTGATATTGTGTTCTCCCACTCTGTTGACCCCTACACTTTTGATTTACTTCCCTACTGCTGTAACGATTGGAGTTAGTGAGCCTCTCTTCTCGTCTTTCACAAGTAATCTTATACAAACACGACTTAATTAAATTATGTCGAGTTTCATGTCCAACCCAGTTAAAGTGTGTTTAATCTGCTAACAGAACAGATTTCTTATTCTCTCTTTTGGGCAGACACATATTTGAGCTAATTATGTCTTGA